GCCATCAGATAGCACCAAGAGTTAGACGCCATCTGGGACGGCGATATCCCCCACTTGCGGAGGCATGCCTCGATGACAAGATGCAGCGAGAATCGTAGTCCCGCCTCAAGGGCACGCACGGTCAGCCCGAACCCATCGGGAAACTAATCGTACGATCGCTAACCATGCTAAGGGGCGAAAATGCCATAGCACTCCAGGATACAATAGCGATCCCAAAGCTCCCCCAAAAGTTCCTCGGTCACCACTGAGTCTACATCGTGCCACAACTTGAGATTTGCAAGCATGGCAGAACTCCCTGTGGCCTCTGAAGGCATGCCTCCTGAAGACAAACTGACAACCTCAGCCCCTGGACCCCCAGAAGAAGAAGAAAAGGAAGAAGAAGACGAGAAAGAAGAAGTCGAAGAAGAAGAAGACAAGGAAGAAGAAGACGAAGAAGAAGGTGGAGACATCCTGACCTCGAAGTTGGGAGGAAGAAGTCGGGTCGTAGGACGAAGGACCAAGTAGGACAATGGCAGGCGGGCAAGGTAATGGTAGATGAGCAAAGTAAAGGGCAACTACTCTAAAGGAAGCTTATAAAGGGCAGGTTGATCCGCCGCGAGACGACGATTGGGCTTCCCAAGGAGAGAGATGGTTGCAACATTTAAAACCCATCATAACTCCTCAGATTCGCCAGATTCGTCGGTCTCGGAGCTCTTGCCAGAGGCACCTCGTCACCCGAAATCTCCCGCCAGAAGCCATCAAGAAGTTTCCTTCCAGGCCCCGGGCCGCTCCACCCGGCCCGCCATGTGGCACTATGGCACCCGGGCAAAATCTGATGCGTCGCCCAACGACGCCCCCCAGCCTTCATCCTAGTTGCACTAGATCGGTTCCCGACTTGCGACTCATTGGCACCAAACCTAAGCCCGAGATCAGTCACTCGGCCCATGGATCCAGCCCTTGCCTTTGTCACTCCAGATCGGTTCCCGACTTGCGACTCACCGGCACCAAACCTGAGCCTGAGATCAGTCACTCGGCCCACAGGTCTAGTCCTTGCTCGGGTCGCTCTAGATCGGTTAATGACTTGTGACTCACCAGCACCAAACCTAAGCCCAAGATCAGTCACTCGGCCCATAGGCCCAGTCCTTGCTCGGGTCGCTCTAGATCGGT